GCTGATTGGACGACGGCGCCGTTTGACCCTTGAACCGGAAGTCATTCTGCCTGCTGCGGCTTTTGAAAACATTAATACTGTTGGCGTCCCAAACATAGCTGCCGTTATCCAGGAATATTTTGAATCAGGACAGCTTCAGTTCTGACACGGTTGTCAAATAACAAAGAGCTCATGGGCAGACCGCGTCTTCTCCTTACAGTCAGCCTCTGTAATGAGGAAATTTCAATTGTAGTAGTACCATAGATTGCACTAGGAATCAAATAACTGTGCTAGCATGGTGTGTAAATGGTCGAAAGGAACCAAGCTTGGCACAGATCGGTTTTCACAAGATAGTATAAATGGGGCCTAAGATTCTACTGGGCAGTTGTAGTAAAGTCCTTCCTGTGACTATGTTGGTGTTAGTTATCAAATACCATTAAAGTAACATTTGACTTCAGTTTTCTCTACTTTAGCCCCATTTACACTACCCTCTGAAAACCGATCCGTGCCGAGCTTTGTTCCTTACGACCATTTACACACCACGCTAGCACGGTTCCTGGCCTTCTAGTGACGATCTATGGTACTACTTCTCTCTAGAGGCAAATAAACATGGCGGCGCCCGTAACATTCAGGAAGTTTGCGGAGAGTCAGGTGAAGAAGGCAGCCTTTGGTGAATTTACTTGACAGAGTTGGCTTTTGGGAAGTAGATACGAAAAACGATGGTCTAATCAGGGCTTCAAGACGCAGGAAACAAAGACAGACATGGAGGTCCATCACACTGCTAAGCAGAATCATCACCGAATCGTGCGGCACGGTAGGAAGCTAGGATTTTTATGAAGGTCTGAAATTTCCGTATTAAGGAGGCTGACTGTAAGGAGATGACTCGGCCTGCTCATGACCTCCTTGTTATCTGAGAACCGAGCCAGAACTGAACGGCGCCGAGCCCGACTGATGGACGAGTACCAGAGTTTAGCACGGTTCGGTTGTGTCTGGTGCAGTCTGGTTCAGTTGTGCGTGCCATTTACACTCAACAGTTACCTCGGTTACCGATCTAAGCATGGTTTCAAAAGGCTAGTGGAAATGGGGCTTATGGCAACTTTCTAGGGGTGACGGTGGCGGATGTAGAAGTTTGCCCTGAAATCAAAGGATTGACGGTTCAAGCCCCGATTACGACTTTCAGTGTCGTTGTGTCCTTGGGCAAGACACTTCACCTGCATTGTCTACTGATGGTGGTCAGAGGGCCCGGTGGTGCCAGTGTACGGCAGTGAGCCCCAGGGCAGCTGTGGCTACAATGTAGCTTGCCACCATCAGTGTGTGAGTGAATGGGTGAATGAATGTAGTGTAAAGCGCCTTGGTAAAGTCTTCTGACTTGAATAAAGGCGCTATATAAGTACAGGACATTTACCATTTTTTACCATGTTCAAATATACAAAGTTATACAATTCATCCAGAAATAAAAATGTAATATTATAATGTGTGTTTGCAAAAACAAAGTTTTCCTCCCAAACACTAGACATCATTTAGACTCTGGTTTTTAGGCTAAATCTGGTGGGTCTGTCATAGTCTGAATAATTGTTGAATTTTAGGCTGTGTTTGGTAGCTCTGATTTTGTCCCAATTAGTCCAAAAATAGACGTTGAGAAGACATTAGAAACCCAGGTTTTAATATTTTTTCAATAACCTTTAACAGTTCAACCAAATGCAGGTTTGGATGTAAATGACGTCATAAATCGGTGGGTTACCCTCAAATATTCTTGAAAAAATGCGATTAGGAAAATCCGCCCGAGTTTCCCAGCTTACTTGAATTTTGCAGGCTGAAGTCAGAGGAAATGTTCCTGACTGTGCAGCTGTAAAGTCCAAACTGCTCTGGTTCTCTAAGGGCAAACTCCAGCAGGCTACTAACGACCAGCTGGCCGGCATCAGGGGACCTGATGAACGAGAAAGAAAAGGTAATCCCACCTTTCTCTACAGACTGGTGCAAAGTGCTCTGAATGCAAACCATGATGTTGTGTTTTGCAGGTAGAGAGTCTGGTTGTTGAGCGGCTTGCCATCTTTGCTCCACTGCGGTGTGGTTTCACACGGCTCCTCTGATGGGTCCCAGAAGAGAAGAGCAGTGCAGTTCAGTTTCACGGAGGCTCCACGACTCTTCCACAGTTTGCTAGGGTTGCTGTCTTGTTGGAAATCAGGAGCTTTTGCACACTGAGACTCTGTAAAGACACACCACAATTATCGATATTCACTGTGAAAGCTTCTCCCAGAAGGTAACACTAAACTATCAGTTATAACTTCTATATATAACTGGAAACAAATGAGGAGAAAACCCACCCTTTACTATGAGGCGTACAGTGAAAGATGCTGTACTGTTTCCTTGTTGCATGCAAGTATAATTCCCCTGATCCTGTAGGCTGAGGCTGGATAACTCCAGGTAGGCTTTTCCATCCTGATCCTGGAGCTGCTGACAGTCCTTCAGCCACATCAGCAGAGTTAGGGGGAAACTCTGAGGTTGAGCTGTCAGTAGAGGACACTGCAGCACATATGAGGGCCTCTGCTGGCCTAAATAAACCACCTGCTCCTTAAAGCCGCCGTCATCCACACAGGCCTGACCTAAAAGAAAGGAAACATAGTTAAACACTTTATCTGAAGATTGTTCACTTTTAGGCCCCGTATGATGCAACTGTTCACTTTTTATGACCCATTTTTCATATGAAAATTACTTGTATGTCACTTTACTGACCTTGACTGTTTGAAAGTCTTCATTTTAAATCGGATCACATGCAGTGATATCTGATTGTTTTTTAAACGCTCCATCTTTGAAGAGTAAACCAGAACTGGTCATAAAGATTAATAGAGAAAGAAGATGGAAGACTGAAAGCACAACGAGCAAAGAAATGCCCAAATGAAGGCACTATAATGAAGTTTGATTTACTTCTTTAAAATATCGCTGCTTTGTTTTAATTGTGATGCTTCGTTTTGGTTCAGGAGGAGTGAGTGATGAGCTTGACATTCTGAGGCTTTTTCAGCACCAGCCTTTTCATGTTGGCAGCATCACTGCCAACATGAAAATATCACATTCCTGGGAACTAAGAAGCGGCCAAGCAGACGAAATGCTCAGTTTCAAAATAAACAACCTTCATATTAACTAAAATATGAAAACATGGGAAAGTCTGTGACGTAGTTTGGTCGAGGGTCAATAAGGCGAACCAAAAAAAA